CTTGGTCCATCTGCAGAAGAACTCCACAACCGTGAAGGATCTCCATACGACACGCACACTGTTCCACATCGTAGTGAAGTGGGAGCGGTATAAGCCAACCCACCGTGGCGTCACTCAGTGCTCGAACTGCCTATTGTTCGGGCACGGCACCAGGAACTGCCGCATGGCCAGCCGCTGCATCAAATGCGGCAAAAACCACAAGATCGACGACTGCGACAGCATCGAGGAAGCCGCTCCCACATGCGCCAACTGCGGTGCTGCCCACAAGGCCACGAGTAAGGCCTGTCCGAAGCGGGTCGAATACGCCGAGATCCGGAAGAAGGCCTCGTCCAACAACCAGCCCGGTCGCAAGAAGGTCCCGGAAAACAACGCGCAGAACTTTCCTCCGTTATCACCGGTCCAACCACGGCCAATTCCAGTGTTGGCGCCGCTCCCGCTCAACCAACAGTTGGCTGCTGCCCAGTCGGCTGCCGCTGCAGTACCCAGTCAAGCCTCCGGCCCATCGACGGATCCCCCTGCTCCGGGATTGGCCGGTACAACCGGTGAAGCTACAGACGATTCTCCGCTGTCAACGGATGAGATCGTCACACTGTTGGCCCAGGCCATCATCATCAAGCGCACCTGCGCAACAAGAACACAACAGCTCCAAGCTATCATCTCCTTCGTCGCTAATTATGGACCGTGAACCCATAAAGATCGCCAACTGGAACGCTCGCTCCGTAGGGGCGAAAAACATTGAGCTTGCAGACTTCCTCCGCAAGCACGACATCGACGTGGGCCTCCTCACCGAGACCCACCTCAAGACCGGTGACAGCTTCTGGCTGCCCGACCACAGCATTGTCCGGCTTGATCGCACCAGCTCCAGGGGGGGCGGTGTCGCGGTCATCATCAAGAAAGGCATCAAGTACTGCACCCTACCCCACTACCGCACTTCCATCATCGAGGCCGTCGGCGTAGAGGTGGAAACATCGACCGGAAACATCCGGTTCATCGCCGCCTACTGTCCCCGGCAATGTACCGTTAGCAATGGTACAGCACAGCAGTTCAAGAACGACCTTGCCATCATAACCCGCACCAATGCCCGCTTCGTAATCGGAGGGGACCTGAACGCCCGGCACGAGGCCTGGCGGAACTACCAGCAGAACAAGAACGGCCGCCTGCTATTCGACCATTCCCAGCATGGTCTCTATTCCGTCTGGTTTCCGGACGAACCAACCTTCACATCACCGACGGGCAACCCATCGACGCTGGACCTGTTCTTGGCAAACACCAGATTAGCCAAGCCGGTTGCCGTCAACGACCTGAGTTCGGACCACCAACCGGTGCTGACCGAGCTGGGCTACAACGTGGCCCCTGCACCGTGCCAGCGGAAGGACTACCATCGAGTCAACTGGGTCCAGTTTCGACGCGTGGTCGACCGCCACATCGACGACAACCCACCGCTCGACACAGTGGAGGACATCGACCGGGCCCTGGAGGGTCTCCATCAAGCCATATCCGTGGCTGACGAAGAGTGCGTTCGACGAGTTCCTGTGAGGGGTAAGTTTCAAGCAATTGATTCCCACACCAAACTCTTGATTCGGCTCAGAAATGTTCGTAGACGCCAGTTTCAGCGGACTGGGGATCTGCAGCGTAAATACGAAATGGTCGATCTGAATCGGCAGATCGCTTCCAGAATGGTCTCAATCCGGAACGAGAGTTTCGGGCGGCTCGTTCAGAACCTGGACGACCGTTCCAGACCATTCTGGAAGGTTGCCAAGGTGCTGAAGTCTCACCCCAAGCCCATTCCACCACTTAGAGTCAATGACGAACGGCTTATCACCAACGAAGAGAAGGCCAATGCGATTGGGGAGCACATTGCCCAGTCGCATTTGCTTGGCTCTAAAATCCCAAGTCCACTCGAGAACCAGGTTGCGCAGTGCGTCCTGACGTTAGATGCCTCCCCTTGTGCCGTCCCTCCAGAAGAACGGATTACAGAGGAACAAATTTGCTCAGCGCTGAAATACAGTAAGAACATGAAGGCTCCCGGGTTTGACGGAATATTCAACCTAGCGTTGAAAAATCTCAGCCCGAGGGTGCACTCGCTGCTAGCTGCCACCTTCAACAGATGCTTGGAGCTGCACTACTTTCCAAGCATCTGGAAGGTGGCAAAAATCATCCCGATCCGCAAACCTGGGAAAGACCCTTCACTACCGTCAAGCTACAGACCGATTAGCCTGCTCTCAGCGCTGAGCAAGCTGTTCGAAAAATTGATCCTCAGCCGACTAAACAAGTTTGTGGAGGAACATGACATTCTTCTTCCGGAACAGTTCGGGTTCCGTAAGGGGCATTCCACCAATCATCAGCTAGTGCGGGTGATGAATAACATCCGGAGTAACAAAGCTGTATCCAAGTCCACAGCCATGGCCTTGTTAGACGTCGAAAAGGCGTTTGACAATGTCTGGCACGACGGACTTATATACAAGCTTTGTAACTCCAACTTTCCACCATACCTTGTGAAAATCACCCGTAACTATCTCCAGCAAAGGTCGTTCAGGGTGTCGTTGAATAGTTCCCTTTCGGGACAATTTCCGATCCCAGCAGGTGTTCCGCAAGGGAGTCTGCTGGGACCACTGCTTTACAGCATCTACACGTCGGACATCCCTCCTCTAGGAGACGGTTGCGTGTTCTTTCTGTTTGCAGATGACACCGCGATAGCCGTCAAAGGTAGGATGCCTCGTGAAATTACGAACAAGCTCCAACGATGCCTTGACACCTTTACTGATTATGCCACCACGTGGAAAATCAAAATCAACGCCTCGAAAACCCAAGCGATCATGTTCCTTCACAGACAATCATTAAAACTTAAACCGTCTCCCTCCTGTACCGTAATAATGGATGGTACAAGGGTCGAGTGGTCCACTGATGTTACTTATCTCGGGATGTTGTTCGATGAGAAGCTCCTGTTCCGCTCGCACATAGAGAAAACCCTAGTTAAGTGCTCCGCCTTGGTTAGGTGTTTGTATCCGCTCATTTGCCGCAGATCCCGCCTCTCAAGGCAAAACAAACTGGCTGTTTACAAACAGATCATAGCCCCCGCGATCTTCTATGCCGCCCCGGTGTGGGAATCGTGCGCTCAGACCCACAGGAACAAAATCCAGGTTGCACAGAATAGAGTGTTGAGGATGATCCTAGATCGTCCATTCGACACAAGAATAGCAGACCTCCATCAAGAGGCAGAAATTCCCAAAGTAGATTCCAAAATTGATGATATGACAACTAAATTTATTCAAAAATGCAATCTTTCTGAACATGCTTTAATAAGCAATTTGTACATAGTAGGTTAAGTGTATATAGTAGAGTAAGTTAGTTTTAAGCTGTAAATAGTAGTATTAAGTAGTTTCTCTTCAAATTCTAAAAACAAAACAAACCAATCCCACCAAGGTGGTCGACCGTGTACTAAGTCTAGGACTAATCCTGTAAAACAAATTTTAAATTTTGCCCATACCTAAAGATGAAGAAAGCAATTAAATCACTTAGTAAAAAATTTATATGGTAATCGTCCAAGTTAAACTAAAATAAAGATCATTTAAACTAAAAAAAAAAAAGCAAAATCAATTCAGTTACCTTTTGACCGGCCACGAGCAAGCATCAGCAGCAGAAGAAAGCAAACCTTTGTAAAGATAAGAAGTAGAGAATAAAAGTAGTTACTAGCGTAGTCGTCGCCGTTTGAATAATTACCCAGCACACATCCCTGGTTCGGAGCAAGCGTAGAAACCCCACCCCCAGCTCTTTTCAGAGCTCAAAGAGTTTGATTTAGATCGACGCTTGCCTCCTCCACCAAGCATTGCCGATATAGTCCACTGCCGAAAGGGAAAGTGCCTTCTCAGACCGAACACTCCCGATCGCAGCTCTAGCTCCTTCAAGACCCTGTGGGAAAGATTAATTCATTCATCGTTGTTTTAAATGAGACCAATGTTACCTATTCACCTCTCCAAGTCGAAAGAAAGGATACTCGGTTATATTTTAAACTAGATCGATGAATTGGTTGTCGTGAGTGATACGATTTATGATTACGATTAGAGGTAGAAAACAAATCAAAAAAGGGTTGAGCTTGGGATTGAACTCAAGACCTTCTACTTGGAAAGCGGAAACGGTAACCACTACTCTACTGATTTCGTCTTGTTGTTAGACTGAATCAGTGTTGTCGAATAATGAATCTAATACGTCGTTTATAAAGCATTTACAAATCATGTGATTACAACATGGACGCATAGTGATATCGCAGTCACAGTTTTGTAACTAATAATCCAATTTGTTCTATCAATCATCACATAGCATGAATAAACCGTCTGACATTGCTATGTTATAAGATGGATCCAATAATCCATACATGCCGATTTGTTTCAGTGTAGATACGCAGTAGCTTCAATAACGCATCATCGTAGGAGGGGTCTTATCGGTAACCAATGACGTTTATATAAGCTGGTGTTAGAAGCAAAAATATTGTAAACATTGCTGAAGATTTTTTAGAGTGTATGCTAATATGTTTGATTTCACTTGTTGATGCTTCCGCCCTCGACAGATTCACACATTTCAACAATGTATACGATGATTTTTTGTTACGTGGATGCCTTCCCAAGTAACATTGCAGGGTTTATTACGGTTTTATAGCATTCTACAAGTCTAAATCATGGTCTACAGAACCCTCATAGAACCAAAATTGTTACTTGGGTTGTGCTACCATGGGAAAGGGTTGAAATATATAACTACGTTCAATTGGCGTTGACGAGAGCTCTGTAACTCTTTACTCCTATGGCGAAATCTCATATGTAACCGTCAGTCTATGTGTGAAACATGGCGGACTTTTTCTTATTCTCTCACTCCAACGCAAAAGCCCATAAGGAACTGTCAAAATGTGTGTGAAGAAACGTCACTTCGGGACTGGTGTCAAGGCGAATTAATTCCGCATACTCACTATGTATCCTCATGCTTATTAACGAGTTTTAATTTTTCAATAGGTACGTTGATATCTCCACTGCACCCGGGCAGCATTTTATTTTTTCAGTGGAACGATGCCAGGACGTTTCTAACTATTGCATCGGGTTTTCCTTACTCCAACGAAAGTGGGCAACATTGTCAATTAATCAGGTTTGTTAATGTCTGCGGTATAAATCATACCAAATGTAACATTGCTAATGCTCTGTTTTTTTCCTAGGACATATCGGTGAAACCCTTCTTTTTCGAACGTTCGTCTGAAGTGTTGTGTAACGTGTGCATCGAGGTAGACTTTCTGCAAAAGAAAACGTAGGTCCATTTTGGTAAAGTAGATACAGTAATGACCCGATTTTGTCAGTCCCCTGCGGATCAGACTTTTATCTTTCAATAATTTCACATAATCGTAATTCCAAATCATTCTCATTCATCTTTAAGATTAATATTTTTTAAAGTATAGCTCAAGCTTTGATAGTGAACCGAGGACTGCGTGTCACAAATTTCGTCACGGTTTACTGAAATTAATATTTTATTCATGAATCCAATGTTTATTCGATAGATAAATGTTCAAGAACTAACTTGGCGAAATATAAGAACTATTTACACGAACCACCTAAAAAGCCGTGCTGAACCGCATTGGCTCACTAAAACCCCTGGTATACGACTCTACGTGGTTCACCACGACCTTTCAAAATATGGTTTAGGTTAAGTGTTTTAACTTCTTCGTCACGCTGCCCTAATAAATTTAGCATGGTTATTTAGCTTAACGACGCGCTCAGAGTATCATCCAAACCATTTATGGAATAGTTATATCATTTGGTTTATCGTTCGTTCATGGTATTTTTTATTAGGGTTGTTCATGAATATTTATCAGTCGGATAAACATCGGATTCATGACAAAATCACAAAATCACAAGTGAACCGCAATAGAAACTGTCCGGTGCTGTAGCTTCGGTTCACTACTCAGGTCTGGTATACTTTGAAGCAATAAGACCACTGAAAAAGCGCATGGGTTTCGTAGAACATTAGAAAAGATTTTTAAAAAGTTGATTATTGATATCGATTATTTTGTATTATCCAACAGAACTACTCTGGAACCCTATGATAGTGATCAAATGGCGAAAGATTTTGTGCTTCAATTTTCCGGTCTGGCCTTGACCGTGGGTCAACCGCTTGTTTTTAGTTTCCAGGACAAGAAACTGCTCGGATTATGCATTAAGTCGCTAGATGCGATTGACGCTAGTGTTTCTGTTCAGGGAGAGAAGAGTAAGCTGGATACTAAGAAAACCAACTTTGGTCGATTGCTAGGAAATACAACCGTTACCTTTGAAAAGGCGGAAAATTCATCGCTGAATCTTGTCGGAAAGGCAAAAGGCAAGATCGTACGTCAATCAATTATCAATCCGGATTGGGACTTTGGAAAAATGGGAATCGGTGGTTTGGACAAGGAATTTAATGCCATTTTCCGGCGTGCGTTTGCCTCTCGAGTTTTCCCACCGGAAATCGTGGAACAGCTGGGCTGTAAGCACGTGAAAGGCATTCTGCTTTACGGACCTCCCGGAACTGGTAAGACGTTGATGGCTCGACAGATCGGTACAATGTTAAACGCGCGCGAACCGAAGATTGTGAATGGCCCTCAGATCTTGGACAAATATGTAGGCGAGTCGGAAGCTAACATCCGGCGACTGTTTGCCGATGCTGAAGAGGAAGAGAAAAGGGTTAGTTTTTCACACACTCATGAATTGTCGCAGGTATATAATTTGGTTGCATCCAATTCTAGCTTGGTCCAAACAGCGGGTTGCATATCATAATCTTCGACGAAATTGATGCTATTTGCAAATCTCGAGGCAGTGTTGGTGGTAACAGTGGCGTTCACGATACCGTCGTCAATCAATTGCTGGCTAAGATTGACGGTGTTGAACAGCTGAACAATATTTTGGTTATTGGTATGACCAACAGAAGGGACATGATCGACGAAGCTTTGATGCGTCCGGGTCGATTGGAAGTACAAATGGAAATCAGTCTTCCCAACGAAGAAGGTCGGGTTCAGATTTTGAATATTCATACGAAGCGCATGAGAGAATTCAAGAAAATCAATCCTGATGTAGACAATAAGGTGAGCAGCAATAAGGTCTAGCAGTATGCAATCTAAAATATACTTACCATTGGATGTACGCCATCTATTTTGTGTAGGAACTAGCAGCATTAACGAAAAATTTCAGCGGTGCCGAGCTGGAAGGCTTAGTGCGTGCCGCTCAGTCAACCGCTATGAACCGCTTGATCAAAGCAGCATCCAAGGTAGAAGTTGATCCTGAGGCAATAGAGAAACTGTTGGTCAACAGAAGTGATTTCATGAATGCCCTTGAAAACGACATAAAACCGGTAGGTAGCTTTCAATTGCTTTCTATATGTATCAATCTCCATTTGGTTCTCTGCAGGCCTTCGGTACGGCACAAGAAGCCTTGGAGAATTACCTCATCCGTGGTATCCTCAATTGGGGGCTTCCGGTTGCGCACGTTCTGGAAGATGGTGCTCTCTATACTCAGCAAGCTCGCGCTATCGAAAGCTCAGGATTGGTTTCAATCTTGTTGGAAGGCCCACCGAATTCTGGAAAGACTGCACTGGCAGCACAATTGGCCAAGATGTCCGATTTCCCATTCGTGAAAGTGTGCACACCGGACGAAATGGTTGGCTTCACGGAGAACGCTAAATGTCTGCAGATCAGAAAGGTTAAATTCAAACTTGAAAAGTGATGGGATGCAAGCTTAATAATTGACTGCCTTTAATTCCACAGTACTTTGACGATGCGTATCGTTCCACGTTGAGCTGTATCCTTGTGGATAACATCGAACGGCTATTAGATTATGGTCCCATCGGACCACGATACTCCAATCTCACGCTGCAGGCTTTGCTTGTTTTATTGAAAAAGCAGCCACCTAGGGGAAGGAAGCTACTCATTGTCTGCACTACCAGCCGAAGGTTAGCTATTTATTGTTTATCTTAATGATTTTCATTAAACTAACTGCTCTTTTACAGACAAGTTTTGGAGGATATGGAAATGTTGTCAGCATTTACTGCCGTGTTACATGTGCCGAATTTGTCGCAACCGGAGCATATTCTCTCAGTATTGGAACAAGAATCCGACGTGTTTACCAAGCAGGATCTCTCTACCATCTATAAGAGAATGAAGGGTCACAAGTAAGTATACAATCAAATATACCGACGAAGCACAGTTTGCTCAGTTGTTGAGTTCTCACGGGTAGTTGTCGGTGGATAATAAAAACCATATTATTATGGAAGGATTAGCTGTATATAATGACGCAGCCTGCACTTGGCTACCTCGAGCGACTACTGCTTGTCTCAATGAACACCCGTCTAATCCGGTTTGGAATTTATTTTTATTTTTGCAATGAAATGCCAATTATTTGTAGATTTGTTTCTCCTTGTGTTCTTCTCTCAAATTCTGCCGGTCATACTCATAATGTCCAGATATCTTTCTTAACGTCAGAATTGTCTTGAAAATCTCCTGAAATTTCCCTAAAAGTTCCGCCCAACATAATTTCCGAAAATATATCAAAAAATCCATGAATTTCTCTTCAGAATTTTCATGGAATGCTATTCCAAGTTCTCTTAGAACTCTTCTTGGAATTCGCTTCAGCTATCCGATGAATTGCTTAAAATTTCTTTTGAACTATGCAGAATTGCCTTAGAATGCTTTTTAGAATTGTCTCCTGAAATTCCTTGAAACTCTGAAGTTTCTTTGCTCTCGCGAATTTTTTAGAGCTATCTTCATTGCCACTATTCACATTACAGTCCAATGTCCTATTGATTTTCTATTTACATGGGACTGCTATGCGAATATAGGCAGTTCAGGGTTCGATTATTTTATATTCCTGCAAAGTATCCATTTAATTTATCTTATCCTCAGAATTTTTTAATACTTTATTAAAGTGATTTTTAGCCGAAGGTAAGTTCATCACATTCTTTCGGTACGTGCTATTCAGGAAATTTGTATTCTGTAACTTTGGAAATGTCCATAGGTTAAAAAACGTCTTTTGTCTCTCTATATTAGTTTTTGTTTGTCTTGTCCACCCGGCTCGATGAGTCTCATCGTCGCCCACTGGCCACCGGCTAGGTCGAACTCCAGACGAATGGTTCTACCGTCATTACCGTTCATACTGGCGACAACGCTCTGATGAGGCAACGAAACCCCATCCCCAAGCTCCTCCCATGATCCTATCCTTCAATACGAGAAAGTGAAGCGCGTCATTCTGGAAAAATTTGCTGATGCATTGGGCCTCGATATGCTGACATGAGTACGAGGTGTTTACATGGACGTGGAAAAAGTGATTCCCGCCTCGCTTAATTTCCTCAATCGGAAGGGGAATATATTCTATTCTGGGAATAAGGATAAATGCTTCCTATGTAAGGCGGTGGACCACCGGATGAATTACTCGCCCCTGGAAGGCCCACAAGCAATCAGAAGAGGGAAAAAGAAAGGATGAACAGGAAGAAAGGAAAAAAAAACAGAGCAGTTGGTACGCTAGTGTAGTGGCGAGGGATGGATCCACCTCAGAATAGAAAAAGAGAAAAGTAAAATTCTAACTTCACTCAGTTTTCGATACTATGCGCTCTTCGACGCTTTTCTTCGACTTTCCTCTTTAAAAATGAGTATGGCTGTTCGGATGGCCTCTTCAATGTTAAAAAAAAAAACTAAGGAAACCACAGTTTGTTCCTTTTTGATAATCTTTTTGGCTTCCCATTCTATCCCACCAACTCTATCTGCCGTACGAACTGCACCAACTCCCCAAGACGGAAATACTTGACAGCTTTATTGAACATTCATCAAGATTTTTTTTTTTACATTCTGCCAAATTCAACTCTCTAACAGTCTAGACGTAGGGGAAATGCAGGTAATGTCGGCCTAAGTGTCCATAATTTGGGCCCATACACAAATTCAGTAATCGACTAAATTTTCAATAGCAACCAAAAATATCTATTAGTAACGTCCCAATAACGTGTTCATCTAGATAAGATTGATAAATAGCAGATTTTTAGCGATGGGCTTAATCTTAGATCCATAGGCCAACATTAGAGACATTTCCCCTACTTTCCATTTTCTATGTGCAAAAAAAAAATCTAAATATGTGTTGTTTTCCTTTCCAGAATATTTGTCGGCATCAAAAAGCTGTTAGATCTCGTTGACTTAACCAGGCAAACTGATCCGCCGCAGCGTGTGAACAAATTCCTCTCCAAACTTGAAGAGGAAGGAGCGCTTGATGCTGGCACTTCCATCCATTAACTTATAAACGGAGGGTAGCTATGGGATCTAAGTATTATCTCTTTCAACGACGTATTTTAAGGACAGAAAAGAAAAAGTAAAAGAAACACAATAATGTACACCACCGTCTCTCATATTTCCGATTAATAGAGGACACCAAAGGCGAGAGGCGCATTATCTATATCTAATAGTTTTACATTACTAATGTGTGTTAATTGCAACGTATCGTTGGCACGTTGCTTTGCAAATGCTATCAATTATATACAGCTAAACTGTTGTTCTTTACACAAACACAAAGAGGATATAGATATTTACAGGTTTTTCTTCTACGCTAAGATTATTGTTACAAAATGGGAGCTATACGAAGGAATGTGTTCCTTCCTAGCAGTCTCGAGCTCTATTAGCCAGTCGTGCAACCAACATAGCGAGGGTAATCGACGATCAGAAATGTAGTAGTATTGCATTTTCAATAATCTTAGATAGATCAACGTGAAACCAGCTTTTGTGGGTCTTTTCCTCAGTTGCCACTCTTCTCAGAACATTCTTAAAAATCTGTCCTTGAAGGATCTCAGTATAAAAATTGACGCACGTGCGTTACTGTCTCAACATTTATTGAGAATGTTGCAGCACACGTACTGTTATGTATTAGCCATTCGAGACGACGGAATGTTCAAGTGAAAACAAAAATGGGTCTGCATTTAGCTTGTTATTGGTGTGCATAAACTTCCGTTATTTATTTGTAAAATTAGCGTTAAGAGATCAAAATTTAACCGTGAGTTGTCGATTGTGATGATTCACACCTTGGTTACCCTTCGTCATTCGCCAGTAGATCGTGCAGATCAATGATGAGATCGTTAATTAAAAGAAGTCCGAGTTTAGCTGATTGTAGAATATTGTTTTGATCTACATTACACCTGATCCGACTCCGCACGTTTGCTGTAGGAATGATAGTTATTGCAATAAAAAAAAAGTGGAATAGACGTTCAAATAAAGCATCGTTTCTGACGATCGAGTGTACAGGTGATTAATTTTTCGTTGGGCGGTTGTAATGTTTGCTAAGTTGTCATGCACATTCCATGCTAAAGCCTGGTTGTACATTAGGATGAAAGATGATCATGTTATGTCTGGAAGACCAAGAGTAATTGATTGTGTTTCTCTGATAAAAGCAACACGTAAATAATTCCCAAATTTATGTTTGTAAGTTTTCTGAAACCAATCTATCCAACTATCAATCGCTTCTAAAGCATAAAAATGTGTACAAATCTACATCCAATGTACAACATGTTCTAGCACTTGTGTAGTGAGTTATTTTATTTGCTCGTTTAGTTCAACATTATCAAAAAAAATTAACTGATTTTTCTTATTGGAAAGAAAATGTTTATGATATGTTTGTATCTATATGCAAATAACGCATGAACCACGCTGAAAATGCGTATAAAAACAAAATGTTTACAACTAAATATACTATACTGTTTAGTAAAAAATAATCAGATACTGTAAATTAAACCTGTTATGAAGACTAAATTGCTGTGATAATTGTTATGAAAGAAAAATCCCTTTTCGATAGCAAGAAAAAATAATAGTCTAAGCCAACGTTTCTCAATCTTCCTTTTTTTGAAATTTAATAAGCTCCCAACCCATCAACATTCAATACAGATGTTGTATATGTAGATTGCCGAAAATTCACCTGGAGCTTTCATATTATGATTTTTTTAGTTATAGATCTTACTTCGTCCAAATCAGTCCCCCAGTAATATTTATCCGAGAGAAAATATTCAGATAATCCCGAGCAACCTGATTCTTAATGGGACTAGTAAGACCCAAACTGAAATGTTGGGAATTCTCAAATAGCTTAGCAAGTTTCTGAGCTTTTTTTCAAATTTGTGATCAAAATTTTACCAAGCGCTGGAATAGGCTTTTGAGGTTTTTATTCAAAATTTTTGTGATTTTCCAAAAGGGTTTATAACTCGGGTCTAATTTAGAAACATTATTTCCAAAAGTTTTGTTCCTCAGGGCAGAAAATCGCTTTTTAATTTGTTTTTGCAAATCCCGCCAGATAACTTTAATGGCAGGATCGCGTGTTCTTCGATATTGTCACCTACGGACATTTTTAAGACGGATCAAGAGCTGAAGATCGTCGTCTATTATAATTGAATAGAATTTAACCTCGCATTTTGGCACTGAGGCAGCCTTTTGCTTCAACTATAGAAGTAGTCAGAGATTCAAGAGCATAATTAACATCATTTTTGGTTTGGAAAGGAATGTTTGGATCGAAGCTACATTCCATAAATGTTCGATATTGCTCCCAATCAGCTCTATGGTAATTGAAAGTAGAGCTGTTGGGGTTCGAAATTATTTCTTGGGATATTTCAAAAGTTACTGGAAGGTGATCAGAATCGAAGTCAACATGGGTAACCAATTGGCAACAAAGTTGACATGAATCAATTAAGACCAAATCATTAGTTGAGGGAAATTCTTGCTGAAGAAAAGCATGTTAGGCTGTTTGGATATTGAATAGTGTAATACCTACAGAACAATCATCAAACAGAATATTATCATTGGAATTGCTTTGAGCATTACAATGATGGCAACGCCACCACAGGGTCCATCAAGACGATCATTTCTATAAATGAAATAATTTGCGTCCCTTTTAACCTTATGGTTAGGTTTAAGGAACGTTTCAGTTATAACGGTAATATGTACGTTATGAACTCTCAAAAAGTTATCTTTAAGAGATCGATCATTTCAATTTAAAATATTTAATAATTTAAAATCCACTACTGAATTTCAAAGTCATGACAATATTGTCCGCAAATTCTGCTCCAGTTTGAATAGCATCAAACATGAAGTTAAATTTAAGCATATCAGTAATCATGTCAATTAATGATTTCTGTAAAATTCTATTATAGGAGCAGTAATGCTTCCTAAGTCAAAATTTCCGTTAGAATTACGTTGGCTAGTATTTTGAAGCGGTGAGGGACACTCCCAGTGATTCTTTCAATTTTTCGATTACCTCGGTTACAGTAGACCTCGTCGAATCCGCCATCCAGAAGCTGAAATTTTCTAATGCTGCTGGCCCTGACGGGATCCCCTCAAGCATCCTGAAGCGATGCTGTTCAGAGCTTACAACACCGCTTTCGAAGCTGTTCAATATTTCATTACAGCAGAGGGAGTTCCCTACGCGTTGGAAATCGTCATTCATGTTCCCGATCTACAAGAAAAGAGACAAGAGAAACGTCGATAATTACCGAGGGATCACATCACTCAGTGCCTGCTCTAAAGTTTTCGAAATCATCATCAACGACGCATTATTCTCTAGCTGCAGAAATTACATTTCTCCTGACCAACACGGTTTTTTTCCCAAGAGATCAGTTTCAACAAATCTAGCTCCGTTCATATCTTTATGTCTTCGGAGTATAGAAGCTGGAACACAGGTGGACGTTGTATATACAGATCTTAAGGCTGCATTCGACCGGGTTGACCACTCTATACTGCTAGCTAAACTTGAAAAACTCGGATTTAACTCGTTGGTTCAAGTCCTGACCAATCGGGAACTTTGTGTTAGGATCGGATCAGAGCAATCGGACTATTTTATAAACAGCTCCGGTGTTCCTCAAGGTAGCAACTTGGGACCATTGCTATTCTCGATTTTTGTGAATAAGGCCGGACTGATCCTCCCAACTGGTTGCCGATCGTTCTACGCGGATGATGTGAAGATCTATGTGATTGTTCGTAGCTTCGCCGATTGCTTGCGGCTTCAGCACCTAATCGATACTTTCGAAGAGTGGTGCTTAAGAAACTATCTCACGTTGAATGTACAAAAATGTAATATTATCTCATTTCATCGCAAGCTGAAACCAGTGGCATTCAACTATACGATAAATCACCAACTTCTGCAACGTGTGCTTCATTACTCGGGCATCGTTGCGAAAGCTAACAGGCAACTCGGGTTCATTTTCAAGGTCGCGGACGCGTTTCGCGATCCTGCCTGTCTAAAAGCTCTATACTGCTCTCGAGTGCGATCGATCTTGGAAGTACTTATTGGTGATATCGACTCTCCATGAATCTTGGCTGAATTTGAAATCTACGCACCCGAACGAGTTCTTCGGTTGAGGAGTATCCTGCATCTTGGACCTCGTGCTGCGAACTACAGCGTGCATGACCCAATACTGTTCATGTCTGGGCGTTTCAACGAGTTTTACGAGTTTTTCGACTTTAACTGTGCAGCGAAAACCTTTCGTCATCGTATCCAAAGCACTCCTGAGAAGGTGAGTATCTGTCCATTTAATGTACACGTGAAGGATTGTGCTACCTGTTTATTTTTTGTTTCCGGATCAACTGCATGACGAGGACTTCTACCTGATTCACGGACAACTCTATGCCATAGGAGGATAACTTTTTTTTATGCTATAGACTTGATTAATGTTCGTTGTAATTGTATTGTATTATTGTGATTCATGTATTTTGAAAAGATATGTGGTTTTTACGCCTTTTCTAGGCTCCTCCCCATCAGGCTTCATTTAGACACGTTAAGTCCGATGAAGAAAAACAAATTAAATAGTAAATTTCTACCCGCTGCATTAACTCACTGAACATTGGTAGCAGCGAGTGGAGTAGGTATAGATGAAGAATTTGAAGCAGGGGTGATATTTGTACCTGTGGGTACGAATGTAGAATTAGTAACAGCAGAGGAATTTGTACCTTGTCGGGAACGTGCGTTTCCTACTTGTCACTCAGAACGAGATTCTAGGATCGCTTTGCGAGTCTTACATTCCCAATTATTGGAATTGTGTTTCTCAACACAATTTGAATATTTAAATTTCATAGGATCTTTCTTCACAGGACAGTCATCCTTTGCGTGAGAGGAATCGCCACAATTCATGTATTTAGCTGGCATGTAGCAATGTTTTCCTCCGTGATCCCATCCCTGGCACTTACGGCACTGGGTGAGGTTTTGGAAATTTCCTCCAGTCTTCCTAACGTGTTCCCAGTTCACTCGGACATGGAGTATAAGGCTAGCTTTTTCTATGGCCTTAAGGTTGTTTAGTTCACTAGACTTGAAGTGAACTAAATAAAAAAAACATTAGAAATCCCGTTGCGCGATTCGCCAGTATTCATCTTTGATCTAATCTAGGGATTCACAAATGGACAAACCTTTCAAAACAATCTTGAACAGACGTTCAGTTTTGGTGTCGTAAGTAAAAAATGTCTACTGCTCTCAGTAAGATACTTGACAAGACGTTTGAATCTATTCAAGGTTTCAGCCAATACACGGCATTCATTGAAGTTAAAACTTCAATTTATCAAAATTCAAAAGTTCCGTGCAAAGAGCATGCCCTAATAAAAAAAAAAAACATAGCGAACGATAACCCAAATGATTGAAATATTCCACAAATGGTTTGGATGATACCCCGAAGACGTCGTTAAGCAAATTAACCATAACATTTTTATAAGGGTGGAAATCGGAACTAATTATCACAATAGAGGGGACATTTTCCTTCTTGGCATTAAGCAGGGATAGTTTAATGGAATTTACCTGGATGATGGATCATTCTCATAATTCGGGAACATATCAAATTGATTTCTCAAATAAATTTCATCAGAAGGGGGATCAAGAGATTGTCCTTTTTTGCAGTAAAACGTTTTACCAAATCGACTTCCAAGCAGATTACTATAAGAATCTGAAGGAAGGTAGGTGTGTTTAGGAACCAGTAACACTTCCTTCAGCAAAAATCAAATAGATCAGTACGGCAAGAGATCACGTTGCGGACTGATCAATTTCTCCTTGATATCTAGGACATAATTGGACTTGAGTGATCAAGTGCAGAATCGTTCTGAAAATTGATGTTACTTGAATGTCGGGCAGTACCATTCAAAGCTTCGGCTGGACATATACTATCCCTAAGCATTACCTGGTGGTAGAACTAGAATTGAATCGAAATTGGCAGTAGCGCAGAAAGCGGTATTAGCTCCGCACGCTGGAAGCAATGCAGATGACGTATGTTCTGGTTTTATGATTTGCAACGGGCGATCAACAGGTTCGGAACAGACATCAGGACGCCTTGCAGTATGAAGTACACCGTGCAGAAAAACATCGGTGTCAATGGAATAGATTTCAGGAAGCGAGGAATCGGTAATTTAATTGAACTTTTCTGAGTTAGCTAGTTGGAAGACCCCCTCATTAGCTCCAAACACAGGAACGGAACGACTTAGATGGCTGGAACAATCAGCAGAAGAACAGTGCGACTCGACAGTGTCGGGGGGCTTATTGGCTTCTATGATGGTACGATGCGCGTTCCGTTGTTTAATGACATTGAAAACAGGAAGGGCGACAGAAGGCATTCATTATTACGACGGAATTGCTGTAGGAGCCCAAAAATCCCGTACACACCTAGATTTTTTTGCCGAGATGGGCACCACCGAGCAGCTCGGCATTTTATTTTGCTGGAAATTCAGCAAAAAATATGTTTGTTAGCTGAATCTCGGCAAGTTTATCCCTGAGATCCAGCAAAATAAAATGCCGACCTGTTTGGTGGTGCCCATCTCGGCGAAAAAAATCTAAGTGTGTACTGATTCCTGGTGCTCGAATGATCTGAAGAACATTCCTTTAGGTCAGACTGATGGATCCAAAGCAGTCCCCTTCAATAGCTTGTCTACTCCAACTTTGAACGATATGAATGCGAATTAATTCAGGTTGCGCACGAGCTTTCGGACATCGACACGCTGTTGAATCTGCAGGCAACTTTCAACCAACTCGGAGACATCATCCTCAGTAACATGACGAGCAATCCTGGACAAATAAATCCAGAACTTCGCCGGTGGGATTTCGACAGTCTCTGCGACCAGCATTTCCTTCTCAATTGATTTGGTGCCTAATTCAAGTTTAGCACTCGGACGACACCATTGTGTTTCTTTCGCAGCAGTATCACGAGATCGTTTGATCATTGGCCATGCCGATCGATCACGGTTCGATTCAGACAAGTTATAATGGGATTATCCTTGACAAATTCGAGTAGATCGATGCATTTGTCACATAACCTCAACAAATTATTGTGCTCGTTAACGAAATCCATATTTGGCCGTTGGAAACCAACACATTTGAGATGTGCAGCTTGATTACAAAAACCACTACATTGCATAACTTAAGCGACTTGACCGGTTTATACTCTAAGCAGATAGTAGTTTGAATTTATTTCAAAAGCTTGCCGCTAGGTGGACGAAATGCGCAAATTGAGCTTTTGCTGAATATTAGTCACGAAATTCTCAGATTTTTTTCTATGAAAACACGTAAGCAAAGTTGCTTAAGTATACGAAGTTTCATTGGAATCAGAAAGGATACTGTCAACCAGTTGTCGAGTTAGCGTGAAATGTATCTATGATGGAAATTAGATCGGGTTATGTGTTCATTAGTTTTGATCAAATTTATTTAAGATCCATTGGAAAAAAAAAATCTGATTTCTGACGGACCACGGATCACTAGTAAAGGTTTCGCGGCGCACGATCTAAAAACCCCCTACAATAGATTATTGTACTGGAATCAAGATGGATTTCGGATATGTGGAAAGTGAAGTCGCTTCAATAGGTAGTTTTAAACACATATTTATTTTAACAATAAGTAAAACCATTTTTCCATACACATCGTAGCATCCGTAAAACTGTCCTGTTCTTGTTTTTAGTTTTAGCTCGCAGAAATCACCTATTGGACAAAAGTAGAAATCAAAACACTCCGGTAAAAAATGTTAGATCAGAATGATACACTCCCTTTGGGAACGATGAAGACGTTCAATCACAAACAATTCAGTGTAATGTAAATAGCGTTGTATTTTTTTCAATACATCTTTATTTTTGTTTCAGTAGAATTATTTTCATTTGCGCTGCTAGCAATTTGCAATTTGGTTAAATTTCGAACCGTTTTATCATCCACTGTGAAGGAGAAACAAAAGGGCACAATTTATTGATTGTGTGTACCTTTCTTAAGCTTTACTAATCAACAAATTTGAAACTTAGAGATATATTTATGTTGTAAAACATTGCGTATAACGACGGCCAGCGTCTAAAAAATATACGTGTGTGTAATGTTTAATTTCTAATTTTCTCTTGTTCCATTCAAGTTGAGCTTCAATGGGAAGTTTGATTGGCAGTTGAGATTAGCGTTTTGTAGCGTCTTTCCATTCGAATAGGGAATATAGTTTGTCCAGAAATGTGCACATTGTCTGATCTGCGAAGGAGCGGAAACTGTTCTTATCATCAATAGCATCCGCCGGAACGTGTCTGCCCAAAGTTCGTTCACTAACCAAGTGAAACAGTCATGTTTATCTATATTTGCAAAAAGCTGAGACATTGTCACAGTTTAAATATTTTCAGTTTTAGCAACGATGTTGTCTTACGCGTGGGTATGTATAGGTGGTACTTTTATGAGCTTTGTTTTATATGTGTACATATGACTGGGTTTCTCTGGGTGATTCAAGGATACGGGATAAAAGTTTCTTAAATAGAGAGAGAGACAGAGATGGGAAGAGAGCTTAGAGCGGGTGGAAACTTTCAAACTTTTTTTTTCTCTGACGGAAGAGTAGTCAATTGTATGTCTTCTTACGTCCTATGCAAAATACACGAGGATTATATAACTAACATGTAAAGCGTTTTCATACATTTTTCATTCTATAAACCTGATAATATTATTTCTACTACTTTTAATACTTGATTATGTTAAAGAGGCACTTTATTGCGCAAAATTTTGATGAACTTTGGGCAGTTTCCAGTCGAAATGTGTTGAGAGTAAAGTGTATTCTTATTTTGTTTTTGCATTGGTGGGTTAATATTGGGGACTCGGTAGGCAGCATTACGATTTGGAAACCCGACAAAACGCTATCGGCAACTGCAGTCAAATTTCAACTCATCGAAGCTGAAACGGTATATACTACTATTGTGTCTGTATCCTCGCTTGTTAGCTAACAATTTGTTCATAATGAATCTCGTATAATTATTTTGCGTATGGCTCCATGTTCTTTTCCTTGGTATATTGTCCTACTAATTAAAAACAACTAATATTTTGGCTCCCCAGGCATTACCAGGTAATTCAGGTGGTATTTTATTATTTAACCCAGAATATATTTGATTAGTTGCCAAACTAGGCGTTGGAGAGTTTTGATTCAAAATTGTGTGTAAAACATAATGAAAATCGACCTATAGACAGATCCTAAAAAATAAACAAAAGCTCCAAGTAACATTTGCATGGCCGTTGAATGACAGATACGCGCAATACTGTCGCTGACCGTAACCGTTGAACACCTGCAACTGCAACGTATGATGCTTTATTTTTGTCCTGGGGTATCATTTCGTGTGCAATGCACGTTTATGCCACTATACCGTTAACTGCCATAATTTCACGCGACGCCTAACCCCGCTCATTTTGACAATATTTTAAGTGTATTGCAGAGATGCCAGATCTTTTTTTTTCCAGAAGTCTGCGAAAAATGTCTGTGAATTTCAGAAATATCTGTAATTGGGCTGCATAAAATAAGCAGATATTTTGCGTGTGATGAAGAGGGGAGGGGTGGTCATGAAATAGATACGAAATTTGAAATGTCTGTAAAAGCCATGTTCGAGCAAAAATGACCTGCTTTTAACGAATTGAACCTAATTGGAATTGGGAATGCATCCATTTACGCCGTATACGTTAAAAATAATCAATAAAAGGATAAATTACGATTACACGACAAATGAGTTCAACTCAAAGTTGAGATTAGTTCACTCAAATTCTTGAAAACGTAGTTAACTCATAGACTGAGTAACACTTCCCGAGCTTTACAGGAATTTGTTTTCTAATATGAACAACATCTCGATGTACATATGAAATTAGTATACGGAAAAAAGTTTTCATGTAGTTTCCATTGGGAATGCACATCATATTTAGCCATTAACAAAATCAATGATATCTATCTGAATTTCACATAACATGAGTTCTATATGATAAATCACTTAAATTGCTTTTGACACATAAGGTTCATGTGATTTTGTGGTACAATTCCCTATTATGATCCCTAATAAACGAGCACCATACATGAACGATATCACAAATCGTGTCACCGTACCACATATTGTTGGGATGATAACCTGAATAGGTTGTTAGGCACTCTTTATGGTTATCGTTTATGCGGGATATCACATGAATGTTATGTGTAATTCTAATGAATATTTTCCATTGGATATGTGATTTATCCTTTGAGTGTGTACTTCTAAAATGAGTAAATTTTAGTCGATTTTTGTCATATTCGAAAAGATTTATGAGACACGGAAAATTTTACTCATTCTACAAGTAAACTACGTTTTCTGAGTAATTTAATCTTAAATTTGAGTCGATCTTATATGTGTGGAAATCCGTTAGTTACTTGATACTGGTTCTTTTGCACGCCAGCAGCGGGGGAACGAGCACATCTTAGTGAGAGATTCAACTTTTCACCACCTAAATTTAGAGAAATCGACAATCAAAAGAGCAATTTATAAACTTATTAATACGATTCTAAACACTTCGTGCTCAAAAAGTGTTGATGAATCAGGATCATAAAAAATGTTTTGTCTACGACATTCTTATACACGTGCATGTGTGACGTCACATTTGCTGTTGTATTGAAAAGTAAAAAAAAATAAAAGAGATTTTGCTCACCAAACCGGTTGATATTTATGATTTATTGACTGTTTTGACACAGCGACGCACGCTACCATCGAATTTTATCAATACTTTTAGAAAGTGATGATTTGGGAATACAAGAATAAGAAGAAGAAGCAAAAGCAAATCGAGTGATGGTTAAGTTGCCTCTTAAGAGGAATTAAGCTTACCGCCAGGGCCGAAAAATTCACGTTTTGATTTTCCTTAAAATATTGGAAAAAGATATCATATATCTATAAATCATGAGTTTTTCCGCAAAAGTCAAAAAAAAAAAAAAAAAATACGTCCTAATAAAACTTTTTTTTTAACTCAAAATTAAAAAAAAAGTTGGATATAAAATACTGAAAAATAAGATCTTTCGAATGTACTTTTCAAATAAGTTATCTGAATTTCTATAATTTATTTATATATTATATGTTATAATAAATTAACTGATAGATATATCCGCATAAAAACCTGTTGATCTGTAAAGTTCTTTAAGTTTTGTTTGCCTCTTTAAATGGTTGCTTAAATAAAAAGTGTTGTTTTGATCACAAGAAAAAAAACGATTAAAAAAAAGTTGGTAAGATCCTTATGGGGGTATCAACAAATCTTACTATGTCTTAAAAGGGGGGAGGGGGTCTCTGAAATATTGGAAATCATACTTACGTAATTATTGAATGGCCCCAAAATACAATTGATTGTATTTCTGCCAATAAGCAAGTCTGTAGTTTGCAAAACCCACTCTACAACAAAGTTACGATTTATAGGCTCACAGGTAGGGGAAATGACAGCTTCGGTATGACAGCCTATTTTCGGCAACCCAAATTGAAGTGCTAATTTCACTTGATTTTCTTACGAAAACACTTCGCTGAATGCATTCAAACGATTCTTTAGCCTTTCAGCTTCAATGTGATTATATTTAAATTACTGAGAAAAAGCAATCTAGCAGGCTTTTCTTGAAATGAAACACACGTACTACAAAATGCTGCTGATTTCGAGTTGCCGCTCTCACTAGAGAAGATTGGAGCTTTGTAAATGCGTTTCAAAACAGTTTGTGACAATTCTTTCGACTGAAATTGTTAGAGCAGCTGGCAGCAAAAGATTGTAAACAAACCAATAATGTATATGTGTGCGTTCCTTAGAGAAAAAAAACTATAGAAAGATGATCGATGCTTAGGTTGCCAAGAATACGTAAATTCCCCTACGAACAAAGTCTCATAGTACCTTTTATGAAAAGAATTCATACACGGATATATTCGAGGATGTTTAAAAAAAAAACACTATGCCAAATTAGTTTCATTCACATGGAAGACTTTGGTAAACATTACGTTCTGTCGTTTCGGTTACCGATCCCATAAGAATACATTAGCAACCTGTACCTGGAATACCTGGTAGCACCGGCGGGGGGCCACGAACAAAAGAAATTAATTTTAGCCAATAGTCTAAACTATCTACACAGTTCGGTATTTTTTCTCGAAATTCTAGTTACATTTTCACGGTTTTGTTTGCTTGTTTTTTTTTTTGTCTCTTTTGCTAACTCTCGAAACTAGTTACACATCAATATTTCACTAATTACTAGCGTTATCAGACAGTTTGTATGATTCTCTGTTTAATTTTGTTTGGTTTTGTTCATTTTATTTTAAATTATTTATTAATTAGTCTTGTTCGCTAATTGTTGAAGGTTCTCCGCTTCGAGACAGATTTGACTGCTATTCTTACACGTTACTACACTATCGATCGCATTCTTGATTTTTATGTTGTTGCAGTGGCTGTGTGTTTTTTGTTTTGTTTTGTTTCTGTAGATAAACTGGATTGAATCTATGCGTAAATAAACGATTTCGACAACAGTTTTCGATGATGACTGAATGCGTTTTAGAATTTATGTGTTTGTAGAACAGAGATGAACGTCAGTTTGCTGTCACGAAATTATATCACGACAGCAATCTTTTGGAAAGTAGCTTCTTCGTAACGCAAAATGTCGTTCGAATATTTGTGTTGTTGATGGATTACTACTCGATTATCGAATGTCATTTGCTTCGTATGATAATGATTCTATCCACACGCTGTAGCCAATTTATCTTTTGGACTTTCGATATTCGTATGAGTTTGAAATATGGAGCAACTTAACATTTGAATGAACTGCTTGGATTAGACAACATGCGAAATGAACCCACAATGAGAATCAATTTCCAATCTTTTAAAATAGAATCTGTCTTTCGTCTTTCTTTTCTTTGTTTCTTCCTTGCTCTGATATTGCTTCTATTTAGTAACTACTTATATCCTAAGATAGTTTTTCTTCTGTTTTACCGTATAATATCATCAGTTTTGTAACCGTTATATTTGTTCTCATTTTATATTGTGTCTCATCGATTCTCCTCTGGCTCAACATAAACTCGAATTCGCTTGCCATTTGTTGCTCTTCTGTTGCCGGTTATCATTGCACAAATATCTCCACAAAACAGAAGCATGGCATAAAAAACATGGGATCACTTGTCAACAAATAATCGCAGCAAATTATAGCCATCTATTCGACAGGGTTTTGCTTTCCTTTCACAATCACTTTAAGTAGTTACAGAATAAAGTAATAAAACTTAGAAAACCACTATTTGTGGGAGGCGATCTGAATATTTCCTTGAAATTCCCAGCAGACCGTTATGTCCCTCCCAGTCACGTACTTAGTACTACTACAATTTAAAATTATGCTTTTTGGTTTGGATATAAATTTCGCTATTCGTGTGGTGTGTATGTTTGCTTCATTTGAATTTTTGTTTTTGGTTTCAACATATACATCTCAGACGTATCAAAAATAAAGTAACTTATCGTACAAAACTTTGTTGCTCATAAAATTTCTTTCAACTAATAAATTATTAACGAATTACAATTTCATTATTAAATATATTAAGCGAAGGGAGCCAGCCCCAACGCGTGTATGTGTATGTGTACGTTTGTTTGTTAATGTATGTGTCCATGTGTGTTATTGTTGCTTGCTTGTTTGTTTGTTTGTTTGTTTGTTTGTTTGTTTTGGTTTGTTTTGCTTTGTATCGATTTGCCAGCAACCTCCTTCCGTGTTCTATTTTCATCCTTTTTGGGTACTGATTTTTATACATGATTATAAGTGCGATGAGTATATGCCTAAATTTCTGTAAAGTTCTTGATTAAATGTATATTCGTTATGACAGGGAACAGCAGGGGTGATGATGATGTGCAGTTTTTCTAGGGCTTATCCTCGCGGTTTGAATCATCATTTTCGGAAGCACTTTCCTCTTCCAGCGTCATCTGAAAGTAAGAGAAACAAAATCAAATCAGGCATTGCTGTACTGCAATCCGTTCGGAGTTTTGGAGAATGTAGATATGACAAAAAATTATTTATTTTCATCATGGGTTGATTCGCAAAAAGAAGTGTAAGTCACTATGATGCACATAAATGGAGCGTCACATACCCTACAAATTCATAGTACACATCGTGTAAATTTATGAGCCGCTGATTTCTAGAGGTTGAGGTTGTTCTTATGTAAAACAATCCGTGAAACGAATGCCCTTGTTTTTGGCTTGCGCAGACTACGGGAAGTGCCCCATTTTACCCTGGTGAAATTAGAAGCTATTTTGCTTTATATGCCGCTGCTGATTATCCACAGCAATAAAATGTAGTGGATGATATGGTAAAAAGCCAAGGAAATCAACTACAACAAATCTCATACTGTGCGGACTGAAGAGATAACCCATTTTCCCACAAAAACTCATTATTTATTAATAACAGATTTGTTGCTGGATTTCAGATATAATACACATAATTTCTTATGTAAAAAAGTTCAACAAATCTATTCGAGCATGTATCCTATATTGTAGACCTCGGGAGTAGCTCTTAATTACCCTTAAATCCTTAAAGTCTACACACTCGGATACATGCTCCAATCGATTCTTTGAGCTTTTTTACATATGAAAATATGTGTTTTATTTCCTAATTAATTTCCCTTGAATAACTAGTTTTGGGGCAAATGGGGCAAAATGAGCTGGTTCCCGAAGTCTACACTTTGCAATACAAGCTGAACACAACAATTGATTTTTTGGACTTTTCACATAAGAAATTATGTGTTTTATATCTTAAATCTGGCAGCAGATTACAACACTATTGTTAATTACCCTGGCTGTTCTTTGTGTTAGCTAGCTAATAAATTGTGGGGCTAACTAATAAATTATCACACTAAAGCTTCATATTAGCAAATAGCGATGGTCCAGGGGGGAGTACCACCCAAAAGATGTGTAAACCACTCACCGGAATTAAAAAAAAAAAATCCAATTTAATTTTCAAATATGAATTTTCGAAAAAAGTTCCTGGATTGGACTGTGGAGTATACGTGTATGTACAATCGTTGGAAAAAGTAGTGCATGATGTCCGCCATGAAGAGTAATTCATAGCCTAATGTTGAGAGTTGTTTTCGATAAGTTTGTTGATATTGAGCTGTCAACTGCTAAGCGCTCAATTTGCAGAGTACTAGGCACCTTTCGTGTCACTAGTGGCGCTATTATCGGGTGATAAAAGAAGAGTGGACCTCATTGTAAATTTATGATTTTTGCACCAAGGCAGAACTGATCCAGCTCAAGGATTGGCAAGAGAATTGATGGAGTATGGTCCAACTACTGATCCTGAAACAAATCAACTAGTATTGGCCAAAACTAAGAATACATATCCTCAAAATAATTCATTGATTAGTTATCAGCTGAAAATAATAATAAGATTAATTCTGATGATAAACATAACCTTCCACTGAGAATATATTAAGAATTAAAAAAAAATCCTTCGGTAAATCGTGAATATCTAAGCAAGATTTCAACATCCCAAGTAACAATTTTGGTTTTATGAGGGTTCTGTAGACCATGATAGTAGAAGGCTATAAAACCTCTTTAAATCTTACAATATTACTTGGGATTCGTCAAATTTGAAATGAACATATTTTTTTTCCTCTGTTCGGGACCTAACACTACTGCGACCGTGAAGTATTCGATTTTTTTTACAGTTGCCACTCTAGCATTTATCGTAAGGATCCAACTCTAATTGAAAGGTCCCGCTATTTATACCCTTCGGAGTGTTGAAACACCCTCCAAAGGCGCGCCTCTTTGTCAGTCAAAATTGGATTCATTAGCAACAAAATTAAGGTATGACACCGATAATGCCCATGCATCAGAATCCTAGTCTTAACCACTTCAAACTAGGGAACAACGAATAGAAGATTAGGAATCACATAGATGAAGACAACTAACTCATTTTTTTCCTTGTTTCAACATCATCCTCGGTAGACAAAGCCGAGTCTTGTCACTATCAACAAGGCATAAGATGTGTTCCTTGGAATACTGGAAAATCCTGTTCCCCTAGTTTGAAGTAGTCAGGACTTGGAATCGGTTGTAGATCTTACATCCCGTAACGTACCACGAAAAGGTGATCTATCCACGTTACGGGGTAAATGAAATCATCGGTACGGAGAATTAAAAAAAAAATTACACAAACTATCCCGTGACAATTTTTATTTCATATAGTTTGGACCCTAGAAAATCTGTAAAACAGAATTAAAAAGGGTTAGTTTGCGCAAGATCTTAAAGAATTAGAAATATTTTGTAGATATAATCTAAGAAAAGGAACTCCTTTCAAAAAACTCAAATTTGAAACCTCTAATCAACATTTCCCAGAGTTTTCGACCCTCAAAAGTTTGTTGCTAACATCCTAAGCTATTTGGAGGAAGAGATGAACTAAAGAGATTACTAAAAATCTCTTAAATAAAGATTAAAAAAAAGCTATTTGGAGGGTGAGCCTCCAGGTTTCAAAATGCTGTTTTGGGGCACACTAATGAGCACACCTTAAAGTATTTCGGCTTTGATACTAAAAAAAGTCAACTCTCCAAGGAAATTGTTGATAACATAATCTTTAAATAGAGTATTTTTGCGCGTGCTCTTAGAGCACCGCGCGACAGCTGGAAGGTTAATAATCAGCAATTCCATAGAAAAAAGTTATAGTTCTCTCAGAATTTCATGAAAATTGGTATAGTTCTTCCTTATCAAAAAATATTAGACTCGTATTTTTTTATTGCGCCATTAGGGTGACCATTTCCGTGTTAGGGTGGTCCAAAAAATCATTTTTTTTTCAAAAATGTCTTTTTTTCAAAAATTTATGACTTCTGAACCTCTTGACCGATTTTTACGATTGACCCTTCAAATGAAAGATGTTTTAATGTAGTTTTAAGAAAAATTATGAAACACTCAGAGATATTTGATTTTGTAGGAAAAAATATGTTACAAATGCTTTTTCTTGATTTTCAACAACTTCTTATTTTAGTATTTTTAATTGAAAGATCATTTAATTTTACATAACATATCAAAAGCGATGTTGGAGAAGCAGTTTTGGAGATACAATTTTTTTTAAATAAAAAATTATTGTTCCGCAATATATGCACCACACGTGCATGGAAACGATGAAGACGCAAGGTAGTTCACAATGCGTCTCCATCGAGTCACAGCAGCTGTGACTAATGAAATCTATGAGTAACTTACAAGCTGGGTGCAACATTCAGTTCAACCTGCGGGCCGTCCATATACCACGTAGACCAAGTTTTAAACATTGCAGATCCTACCTTTCCCTTCGTATACTCAAATTTTAAAGCGTTTCGTTTCAATACTCCTCCCATAGGGCCTTTTCCATGACAAGTTGCGAAAAAATGCCACACGGCAGCAATGCCAATTTTTTTTTGCATGTTGCATCAGTACCTAAGAGTCCAAGCTGTACCTCATAGGTATATCACTCGTTCGTAGGCAATGACTTTTACATAAGCTCCAGCCCAATAGGCTTCGCGGTGTTAGTGACATTTGGAAATGTTTGGTGGTGTTTGTATTTATTCGCAATATTCATCTATTTACCTGAAACAGCTGTTTGAAGTGACGTCATTTCTTACGAACAGTTGATATACCTATGAGTTACAGCTTAGACTCGTAGGTATATCACTCACTCGTAGGTACGATATAATGCTTCACATAAAACAACGAATGTTATGAAAGAAATGATCAGTTCGAAATCAAAGTTTCCTACTAGAACAGTTGAATTGAAGAATATCTAAAAATGAAACGTAAGTGTTCAATGTGTGATGTTTGGATGTTGAGTTCATGTGCCAGAAAAATCACCAATAAATTGTACGATTATGCAGTGGAAAAAAAGATTAAAATAGATGAGAGTAGCTCCTTCATTTGTCAACGATGCTACCACAAACTATATGAACCCAATGATGCCGTGACCGAAGAAGCATGAAACACGTCAAAAGCAATTTGAAAGCTACAGAATGCATCATAATCTGTGATTTTTCGGAGAATTATTCTTTCGTTGTGCAGGATGCAGTTCAAGGCTTTCATTGGACGAACGTCCAATGTACTATTCACCCTTGTGCTATTTATTTTAAAGACGAAGAATCTAACGATTTGAAATTTACTAGTTTTATTGCAATTGCTGATTTCACTAAACATAATCATGTCGCAGTTCGTTTATTTCTTACGCATTGTCTAGCGTTCATAAAATATAAATTGCCAAGCTTACAACAGATTTACTTTTTCTCAGATGGATCAGGAAGCCAATATAAAAATAAGATGACCGCTTTTAATTTATGCAACATGCAAAAAGATTTTGGCATTGCTGCCGAGTGGAATTTTTTCGCAACTTGTCATGGAAAGGACCCTTGTGATGCTTTGGGAGGAGTATTAAAACGAAACGCTGCGAAAGCGAGTTTGCAAGGCCACCATATAACAACGGCCCAAGAACTTTACTCATGTGCTATTTTTTAAGCCAGATTCAAAAATACACTATCAGTTTTTTTCGGAATCCGATTACAATAAAATGGAAAGAAAATTGAAAAACCGTTATATACATGTGAACCAAATTTCGGGGACACAGTCATTCCACAGTTTTAAGCCTCAAAACGAAAAGTATATTATTGTCAAACGGTATTCATTTTCAATGGAAGAAAAATGTGTGAAATTGTAATTAAAGAAAATAAATGCTTCATGTTTTACTTATTTTTCTTCGACCTCGTCATTATTTGTAGCATTTAAGTACTTCTCCCAGAATTTTGATACCAAAATTAATAATGTCAATGGGGCCTGTTTTAAAGCCACGAAGACTTCAATGGGGGAGGGGAGTCCAGCCACAGTATACGCTCGGTAAAAATATTTTAAAATGTTAGTAAAGTATACGAGGGGGGAGGTAGGATCTGCAATGTTTAAAAATTGGTCTACGTGGTTTATGGACAGCCTCCAGGCTGAACTGAATGTTGCACCCAGCTTGTAAGTTACTCATAGATTTCATTAGTCACAGCTGCTGTGACTCGATGGAGACGCATTGTGAACTACCTTGCGTCTTCATCGTTTCCATGCACGTTCTTCTTCTTCTTCTTCTTCGCATTTCAAGCTTATTGCTTTTCGCATATTAGCTTATTGCGTGCTCTCAACTTAGTGTTCTAGATGCACTTCCACAGTTATTAATTGAGAGCTTCCGATGTCAGTACCAATGCATGAATTTGTATATTGTGTGACAAGTACAATGATACACTATGCCCAGGGAAGTCGAGAAAATTTCCAACCCGAAAGATTCCCTCGACCGGACCGGGAATCGAACCCGCCGCCTCCGGCTTGGTAATACCGTGCCTTTACCGACTAGGCTATCTGAGGCCCCATGCACGTGTGGTGCATATATTGCGGAACAATAATTTTTTATTTAAAAAAAATTGTATCTCCAAAACTGCTTCTCCAACATCGCTTTTGATATGTTATGTAAAATTAAATGATCTTTCAATTAAAAATACTAAAATAAGAAGTTGTTGAAGACCCTCGCAGTGAAAATCAAGAAAAAGCATTTGTAACATATTTTTTTCCTACAAAATCAAATATCTCTGAGTGTTTCATAATTTTTCTTAAAACTACATTAAAACATCTTTCATTTGAAGGGTCAATCGTAAAAATCGGTCAAAAGGTTCAGAAGTTATAAATTTTTGAAAAAAGACATTTTTGAAAAAAAAAATGATTTTTTGGACCACCCTAACACGGAAATGGTCACCCTAATGGCGCAATAAAAAATACGAGTCTAATATTTTTGATAAGGAAGAACTATACCAATTTTCATGAAATTCTGAGACCCACTATAACTTTTTTCTATGGAATTGCTGAATAGTCATAAACGAGTACTTGCCTGAAAACGAATCTTATCTTCCGCTTCATCTAGTGAAGGTGGCGAAGGTGGTATTAAGCTCTGATAGTAATCACGATTCTCCTCCAGCATGTCGAGAATGTCCTGCGCATCAGGATGCACAAGATCCCCCCACGTCTCCCATAATGGATGCACAATGTAGTCGATGAAGCCGACTTGCGATTTTTCGATTGTCGCGTTTTGCCGATCGCACATTGGGCTGATATCCATACCGGCAGCCCGTTCCTTGTCGCCCTGCAGGAAGAACTCCTCCATCAGCCGGGCAACCCATCGTTTGTACATGGGTAATGGTTTGGTGGGATTGCTGAGATCAGCACAGTGTACCAAATTTTCTAATACCTAGTAAAAAATAATAACGATTATGTGATTAGCTAACCAACCAAAAGATTAATATGACTCACCTGTATCCTATCAGTATAATTATCTAATAGTAGAACTCCAGATCCCGCAACCTTCTTAGTCTCCACCATTGTTTTCAGATCGGCCAGCAATGTCATGTGTTTTGACATATCCGTTGATAGCACCATATCGATAACCATCTTTCTAAACGTTTGACGTTGTTTCCTGGGAAGCGAAGAGCAGAAAGTAAAATCGAATTACAGATGTCGCACTTAATTTAACGTTTTATTGACGAAACCATCGACAATCAATCTGGGACTTGTTAATAAAAGTAACCATCAAAAGCGATGGAATATGTGGGTCTTATACTCGTTCGGACGGTATTCACATCTAAAGTTTTAACCAGTCTCAGCGGGACAATAAATTCCGATTGAGGACGTGAACATATTTCTCTGTCCCCTTGTGGTCGGCATTTCATTTTCGTCGTCCACTGAGCCTTTACTGCTTCCTTTTTCAACTAATCTAATCTAATACGAATAAGTTACCGGTTGATCATAAAAGGGCCATTCTTTCTTAAGGGGAGCCCTGTTCGACTTTGCATTCATAGTGAAATTTATAATTTATACCCACTAAACCATTAATTGACCATAGATTGCTATTGTCCAAATTGAATTTTGCTATCATCTAACCGCGAGCAAAACAAATCTTCGGCAAAACGAAGAATATTGAATTTGCATATTTTGAATGTTTAGTTACAATTAATCTATTTCAAGTTCGCATCAAACAATCGACCTTACTGTATCAAAAGTCTAAGAAATTCAGTTTTTTCCTTAGATTCTCGAGAAAATGTACATGTAAAACTTTTTTTTTACAAAACCGAGTTGTCTTTTTTTAAAACCCAATTTTTGTCATGATGGCAATAATGATTTTAAACTGAAGTTTTCTTTAAAATAGGAGACTGTATTTTTTGTTTAGATTTTCGGTATCTTTTTCCAATATTTTTAGAAAAATGAAAACGAATTATTTTTCGGGGTGGTAAGCTTCTCGTTAAAAAAAAAAACTCAGTAAATATAATACAGTGCGAGTTCAATGATAGTAAAACGTCTCCAATGTGTTTATTTGCTAATGCGGTGCAGTTAACAACATCAAATCTTATTTATTTATTATTTTTCTTAGAGTTTTCAAAAAATCGTGAAATTTTGAACAGGTTCAGACAATCAGGTTTGCAATTATTAAAGCGTATGCGAGTGTTTTGCCGGCTCTGAACTTAGTGTTCTAGATGCACTTTCACACTTAATAATTTCTCTGCCAAACAATGCATGAATTTGTATATAGTGTGACAAACACAATGATACCTCCAAGAAGAATCGAGTAAATGTCCAACCCTCGAAAAATACCTAATCGAACCCGCCACTTTGGTTAAACCGTGCATTTATTGCCCTGGCCAGCGTTTCTCAATCTATGGGTTGCGACCCACTGATAGTCCTCATGTAGGTCACAGAAATTCAGACAACACAAATTTATCTGTATTTAAAATTAAGGTGGAATAATAAAAATTGAGCTACAATTAAAACCTTTTTGCTGGTTAAAACGGATTGAATAGCTACTAACTTCATTGCTATAAATGATGTAAAACTAGTGTTTGAAAATCCACGCTTCACTTATAACAAGTTTAGTATTGTAATTGAAGTCGATGTCGATACATATGTTATGTGCGAAAAAAGTAAATGTAGGGTTTGATCAGTGCTCGATAGTTCCCGCGATTAATGTTTGAGATGCTTCAAATGTGGAGAATTTGGGTACAAGAGCATGGATTGCAAAAGTTGTGAGAGCTGCTCTAGGCAGCCAACAACACAAAACGTCGGGGTGTAGTCAACTGTATTGAAGTGTGTTAATTGTTTGAAAATGACTAAATAACGTAAAATGAACTTGGAAGTCAACCATGCCGCATTTACCTCTGAATTTTTGCTCTATAAAAGACTTTTTAATCAGAAGAAAAGCAGCTTGCGTTTCAAAAAATAGCAGCCAAGCTCCAGGAATGTGAATCAATTCGATTTTTAGTATTTTAATATTGCGGGGTTGTCAACAAACTACGTAGCATTACGTCAGATTGTTGAGGAAAAACGTACACTTTTAGTTTTATTATCTGAAGCTCATATTGTAGAAAGTGAAGCTTTTGATCAGTATAGTATTCCGGGATATATCATTCTCCCAGTTCTAGTGACCAGCGTTTCGTAGAAGTTTTAAAGAACTGGCTGGAGACATTCCATGATTCTAGTAAATTAAATATATTAGCTAATGTTTTTAATATTAATATTCGTGATAACTATAATTCGAATCATTTGAAGCGTTAAGCTGATTTTTTCAATTTAAAGCAAACGGTAGATGAATATACGCGTATTTCCAGACACAGTAGAACTTTATTTGACCACGTCTATTCCAATTTTGTTTCCATTTGTTCAGTTACGGATACTGATTTGAAAATAATCGATCATAAGACCTTAGTGATTAATGTATTAGATAATATCAATAACAACGATGAATTAGTATAATTGAAGTGCTGGAGGAAATATTCGAAACATGCTATTTCAAATCTTGTTGAGAGGAGCGTGGATTTTCCATTCGCGGCCGGTAACTTAGATGAATCTACAGTGGTTCTTAATAACGATTTGAAAACGTGTACCAATCAACTAGTTCAGCAAAAGTTTGTTTCTTTGAAAAACTTGAACAGCTGGTACAACAGCTGGGATCTTTTGCGTTTTAAACGGAAAAGAGAATTAATGGTACAAAAAGTTTTGTAGATCAAATAATGACAATCATTGGAATAGGTACACAACCGCGCGTAATAAGTATTCACAATCGATAAAGTAAACTTGTTGTGAATATGTACAAAGGAAGATTGATCAGCAAGAGTTATGGAAAATTTTGAAATCTTTATTAAATTGCAAACCGCGGTCTATAACTTTAATGGCACATTAGAACAGACTGCACAAGTAATTGCATCTAAGCTTAATGATTTTTTAAATTGATTAATCAATCCATTGAATTGGTCGATAAACCTGGCGAAATAAAACAGTCAGTTAATAGTAGTTGTAGATTTGAAGAATGATGATGAACTTAGAGTTATTTGTGTTTCATTAGGAAAATCGGCTGGAGTAGACAATGTTAATGCTAGAGTTATTCAATATTGCTTTCATGTCATTGACCACATCTTGCTGGACCTTATTAATGAATCATTGCAAACTGGACATGTGCCACAAATTTGGAAAGAATCCTTAGTGGGTCCTATTCAAAAAATTGCTGGAACGATTAAAGCCGAAAAGTTTCGTCCCATCAACATTTTGCACATATTAGAGAAAATTTTAGAACTTTTTGTTAAAGGCCTGCTGTTGGAGTATTTGAATAGTAATAGTTTGTTGATACCAGAACAATCGGGATATCGGGAAGGTCATTCTTGTGAAACCGCGTTGAATTTGGTATTAGCGAAGTGGAAAAATTGCGTCTGATACAAAATTGTAGATAAAAAATGAATAATAAAATAAACATGGTATTTATTTTTTTATTTTTTTTTTGTTTAAGAATAAAAAAGTGTTAAAATCTCAAATTTCCTCACAAGTATATCTTTTTTTATTTATTTACTTTAGGGGTTAAAGTAGAAACCAAACATACAGTATAAATCGCAAATCACATCATGGTAATCACGTTTATCGATTCCCGAAGATCCCGATAGCCCGTAGGAAATGGATTCGTATTTGCGTGGACCATGAGGCAGACGTACCGTTCGAATGACATCACTGTTAAAACGTTACACGCAATGAGGGAAAATATACAGCAGGGAACATGGATGCAGTGAAAATCAGAAATATTCAGAGAGAGAGGTGGGCGAAGAGAATGTTTTGAGCCAAATGAACTGCCAAAATCTGAGCCAATCGAACATTCCCATTAGAATTTGGCCGAGGATTTCTTATTCTTACTAGGTATATAAAATTTGAGAGCATTGCAATCGAACAAAAATTCAATCACCTTTATGCTACGTGTGCTTCTCAAATTCAACTAGTTTTTGGAATCAAAAACAATATTCTAACTCTTGATTAATTAATGGCATCAAGAAATGTACAAAATATTGCGATGCAATCTAATATTATTTTGCGCGTAAATCGAATCAAAAATAAAAGTCATGTGAAATGCTGGCTTCTAGCAAGGGTTGCAAGATAATTTAGGTACAAATCCCTGCTGCCGAATTGTATTTTGTTTTCTCCGCCTATCTCTGCCTCTGAGTATTTCTAGTGAAAACCAACTAAAAGAAGCCAGCTGCCTTCCCCTAGGGCCGACAGACGGAACAGAATGACGCATGATTAGACGGCTAGCAGTGTAAATGGAAACATTAATCATTAGTGACAGCATTAGCAATTGCAGCCAAATCAAAAACCTGCGCTGCAGAATTGTATTAAATAGTTTTTTTTTTTACTGTTGTTAATAGTTTTGTTGGATTTAGATTGCCTCTAAGAAAACCAAATTGAAATTTGGATTATTTAAAAGTATTCGTTGGACTAAAATAAAAAGAATTCGTTACACCCATGGATGCAAAGAGAAAATCGACAAAGTGAATCTGTCAATGTTTCTTAGGACCTAATGGATTGTTCGGCTTGATTTTGGAAAAAAAAAATTAAAGCAGTTGAACCTAAATGTAGAAATTTTTTAAATCATTGGTAATTTCACAGAAAATCATTGATTTCCAACATAAGAATTATAATATATTTTACAATATATAAAAAAAATCATTGATTGACACTTAGTTCAATGAAAAATGTTGCTTTTAAGTTAAGGACAACATTTGATTCCACTGGTCTAAAGAACTGCGCACAATGACAGCACTGTTGCACATCAAGTTAGTTACTAAAATACTAAGTACATCAGGGCACCAACAATTTCACAAGTTATGCATTTGAATTCTTTGTCTTCCTTTTTTTCCATGTCTTTGACGCTTCTTATGAAGCCTCACACGGTTAGAAAAATGTACCCAACATTAAGTTCTTTTCACTCATCTCGGTACTATAGTGCAGGAACCCAAAAGTAGGTAAAGCGGGTCAAAGTAATTTTCATTTGTTGGAGGCGAACCAGCCCAAGGCTGAAAGCCTCCCTAATAAAGATAAATAATAATAATAATAATAATAATTTTCATTTACTTGTGTGCAGTTCGTATGGAATTTTCCACTAGCTTTTTAACCAAAAGTAAGTTAGTTGTACCCAACAGTAGGTAAATATGATTATTCCCAACGTTGGGCTCCCACACTTTACTACCCTTGTTGGGTGGTTTTGCTCCTTCTTTTTTGACAACATTAGAAGGAGAAAATGAGACAAACTAGTCAAAAGTAGGTAAAAGTGAACTTGGCCGTTGGATACTTTTTTCTTACCGTGCAGGTTTCTTTATGAATAATGCTTTATGCCAAATGAAAACTGATTTCAAATGAGACAAGGATCATGCAAGAATTCGCAATTCGTAAATCGATACTCGACGTTTTTAACACCCATCTTGATCCTTTTATCATATTTCGATGATGATTAATACTTACTTCTGTATATTGCGTAATATATCGCAGTCTTCATTTTGCATGAGTTTAAATGCAACTGCTAAATGATGATTCTCTAGTACGGACTCGTCATTGTACATAATTGCTAGTTCTGAACCTAGTTGGGACGAAATTCAAAAGAGAAGGTATGTCAATTCAAATCATTTCGCAAGGAATTGCTAGCCGCTTACTTGAATTAATTAAAAACTGATTGGTTAAACCTGGATGATCAACATCATGTATACAGGCGGCAAATAGTGCTGCGCAGGTCTCTAACGGAGTAAATACATTCTCTAGGGCCGGCGTGTTCAGCAGAACGTGAGTGCTCTGCGCCACATCCGCTGCGTGCAGTGAGTTGTGAAATGGATTATCCTTAACATAATGATCCTCTAAGGTTGTCATAAACGCTAGAAAAACTTTGGATGGTATCATAAGAGTGTTCAGTATGTCCCTTTCCTGTGTATATTTTGGACGAAAAATAAAATTATGGGTAAGTTCGGGTAAGCTCGATGATCGATTTGATTGCAATCACCTGAAAGATAGCAAAAGCTACACAGGTCAGCGGTCGATTGTTGCTTAGAGTTTCGATTCTGAAAATGTCGATGCCCCAGGTGTCGATCTGGTTGAGAACCGGCCCCAACTGGTGTTCGTGTGGCGTATCGACTCCGTACTGCGGCAATCGATCACTGGTGAAAGAATTCGTATGCTGCAACGGTCGCTTGAAGCCGGATATCTGGGACATCCGTTCACCCATCCGGGGCGACCGGCTTCGGGAAAGTGAGCTTGGGTTATGCATATCCGAATCATCTCTACTGTAGGGGATATCCAGCTCCTGTTGTTTATCTGTTGGTATCAAAAAACTAGTTGTAATTTCATCCAATTATTGTTCGTGAAATCTTTCCAAACCTAAGAAAGTCGAACTAATATATTCAGATATCTGGTTGCCAGATTTGCTTGATTCGCTAAGATGTGATAGTTCCTTATTCAGCATCCGCTTGAACTGTAATGAAATGGGCCCATAGTAAAATTCCCACTACTAATTCAAGCAACAATCTACCTTCAGAGATGCCATGTCCGACACACTGCGATGCGTTTGTACCGTTTCCAGCTGATCCAGGCACCAATCCAACTCGTCGATCGTATCTAAAGCCAGCTTTACATACGATTCGTCCCCAGGGGTCAGTGCCTTGGGCGATGGTGTCACTTGAACGTTATTTCGTTTTGATCTGTCGGGATTGTGAGAAGGTGGTTAGTGTGTTGAAAAGATACTGAACCAATATCAAACAGATTCACGTAAATGAGCAGTTCTCTCAAGCCAACAAATGCTGTACTGTTCGTTATACGTTGAAAACAGAACACAACCAGCAGCTTCAACATCATTGCGGAGCACGCTTTTATACCAATGAAACAGTTCATTCGAGCAGTCTGATTGCTGTGCGGAAGCGAAAAATGTTGAATCCCGCGCAAAATGGAACAGGAAAAGAAAACCTTTGTTAATTTTCAAAATCAATAAAAAATCTCCATCCAAGAAAATTAGAAAGATATTTTTGAATAATTTGAATAATAAAATGAATTACATTTCCCTAGAGATGAACCAACCCATGGCTGAAAATCATACCAAGGACAATTCTCACATATTTGAAAACACTGGGCGTTAATGAAGTTATAAATAAAGAATTTAGGATGTAGAATGCTATTGTTATATGTGTTCGATTAAACGTTTTACCAAAAATTGCTTTAAAGGTGAAAAGGCGAAAACATGAAACAAAACCTTCCTATTTAACGAAACTTCATTGACCGTCCTTCGAGGTCCATTATCTTCCTTGTTGTTTTGAAAACATTCCATCGGGTTGATCACCAACCGCGCAGAAATTGTATTCCTAAAAATATTTCCCCCATATCGTTGTCGTATAAAGATGCAATCACTCTCACATTAATCACATGTTATTTCCCTTCCTTCATTCTTCGTGGGAATTACGTCGGGCGTTCGTCAGCTGCTCTGCAGTCTGATGGGGACGCCCGGTGATTTTGTTTTCAAAGCAGGAGTGAAAATTAATTCTGCGTCTCATTTCCAACTGTGAGAAATGCGGACGCAAATGGAGTGTGCAATGGTGTGCGAAGATAAATATGATAATGTGGAAATACTTACTTGGGCGGTGAAACATTTGTCAGGTTGAAGAAGTTCGATCGTATTGAACGTAGGCTTGCGAGAATTTGCGCAAATGGTGTAACGATCAGATCTTCCACATGCCTAAAGCATGACGTGATGGCGTTGATGCAATGTTTCCACGATATCAAAGGATGGAAAGAAGCCAAAAAGAAGAAAATATTCGCATTAGTGAACTGGTTGGCAGCGATTGGATATAGGCCGATAACGAGTGTCCGAAAAAATATTACCTTGGTTAGGATGTGAATAATTTGGAATGTTGTGTTTGGACGGGAGAATTATTTTTAGAGCTTTAGGGTAGGATGGTGCAAAACGCACCATTTAACCAAAATCGTCAATTGCTGGCGTATGGAAGCTAAAATCAAGGAGAAATTAACGGTGTATGGTTCAATACCATGTTTTCTAAGAATATCGAGTGATTTCGAACTACAAAACGATGATTTTTCATGATTTTCAAAGTATTTTATAAATCGGTTCCAAAATGACAGCGGTGCAAAACGCCTGATTCATGGTGCAATATGCACGCACGACAACAATGGCCAAAACGCGTTTTGGGGTGGTGCATTTTACATGATAGACAAACCATAACCCCTGTAAGTAGAGAATGCAAAGGCATGAGGTATTTCAAATGATTATTCATTTATGTTACATCAGAAATAGGGTCTCAATAGAGTGTTAAACTGAAGTCAAACATCTAAAAATTATACGAAAAGTGAATTCGTTTCGTTCGATATTTGCTGTTAATAGCTTAATTTACAGTCGATGATTTTAACAACTGTGTCATGTTTTGCACAAATTCCAATTTATTAAGGAATGAGAATGATTGACATTAATGATTTTATGATCAGGAATTATTTGTGAAACCTCCAGTTGAAAACAAACACAATTCATTACCCAGAAAATACATCTGAGGAAAAGCTATTAACTTTAAGTGGGCATTTTATCCTAGCGGTGCATTATGGGCTGTTCTGTTGTTTCAGGGCCGAAGAATGCAACCTTTTGCAACCTACTTTGACATAAGAAGTAATACTAAGTTAATGTCCCTAATGTAGGCTTAAGTGTCTCTAATACTGAGCCCATACTTAAATTTATACAGGGCTTCCCCTGTTTGACAATTTTTCACTAGCAACCAAAATTATCCATTTGTATTGTCGAGATTACGCATTGTTCAAATTTAAGAATTGGATATTTTTATCTGTAGATCTATTGGCCAACATTGGAGCCATTTCCCCTATATCTGAACAAAATTAATGAGAAACTTCAGTTTTGCGGCATTTAAGGGATAAGGGAGAACGGATTTATTCTGCACCAAGATGATTCGTCGAAACAAATTAACTGGAAACATCATTTCGATACGTCAGCAAAATTCCTAGTGATTTAATTTTCGGACACTCACCATTTTTCCCCGTCAAAATACTTACGTTCGTTCTGTGCTGGTAATCGTGGGTGCTTCCACTTCTTTGAGTCTAGAAAATTTATCAGTTCTATAAATTCAAATCGAACAGTCGGTTGAAGGTGATGGTGATTGGTTGGTAGGTTGGTTGGTTGTTTGGTTGATTGGTTGATTTTGGATGACCAATTGAAGGGCATACATTCATGTGTCGATATTGAGGGTGAATGCGATTTTGGTTTTTTCGGAAGGATAGAAATTTACAATTCAGGAATTAAAGAACGGTCGCAAGATACATGCGCGGGAAAGAGACGGCAATAGAAAAATATATAGAGCAATACAGACCATTCATAGGTACGCAAGAAATGACAACAATATATTGCAATACCTTTCACTGGCGATGCTGGAGTTCCTTGACATCGATTTTGGGGACATCTCGAAATCCGAATCGGACCGATATAGAAAGGATTCTCTTCGCTGAGGTAGATTCTGCAGTACCAAACCGGCGGCAGCGGCGGCTGCTGGTGATCCACCTTCCAGCGGTGATCGTGAACCTTGGCCATTTTCGACGTCGAAACTGGAATGGATAGAGAAAGGAAACATATATGAAATGTAACGTTTTGCTTTGGATGACAAGCGAAAAATTAAAAGTATATGCAGGATTGATACGAAGGATCCTTTTTCTTTAATCGGATCAACACGCTGTTTCTAAATACGCTTAGCAATAAAATCATAATCAAATAATCAGTCATAAATCAGTAAATCAAAAACAGCCCGAATTAATTATTGGACTTACTTCTCGGATAAATTTTGGATTTAATTATATTGCATTTGTTATTTTTAACAATGTTATGCATGATTATCTTCTCCTTTTAGGTTTTTACAGACCAACAATGGTGAAGTAACACTGGAACATTAAACTGAATAATGTTGATACCATCATTTTTAATGTGGATTTTTTAATTGTATCAGATATTATGTTTGAGCCTAGGCAGTAAAGCACGGTATAACCAAGCCGGAGGCGGCGGGTTCGATTAGATTCTGACAAAAGTGCTCGTACGATGAGAAAATATAGATTTCTCATGTGATTTAAGGTAACGCATGATGGATGCTCTGTTGCTGTTTTCTGATTATTACTACATTTGAACTGTTTTTTAATTCTCATGTCATTTGATGTGTCATATGTGTCGCTTTGTTAATTGCCAGCACCTCGGTTTTGTCGTTACCGTTTTAAGTGAAATGTGTGAAAATGAAAATAAATATCATCAAGTTCCGCTTTTGAAATGGAAGTGCGAATCCCACAATGGGCGAAATCAGTAATTCCATGAATGCACTGGATGTGGATCCCGTTAAAATGGAAGCAAATTACCGAATTGCGAAGGAGAAAGCACTTTTCATGAAGTTCAAATCTGAAGAATTAGCAACCTAGCAACCAACAAGATACAATGGAGTTGAGGTACGTATGTCGCCTGCAAGGGGAAACTTAAAATACCAGCGAGTGTACGATCTTCCTCCAGAGCTTGCGGATAACGATATATCATTGGTGCTGGGGAAATACGGAAAAGTGAAGTTTGGTATCTGAGAGAAATTTCCTATGGAGATTGGCCTCGAAATGTATACAGGTGTGTGGGTGTGTATATCGATGAGAAATGTCACAACTCGCTGTATTTTTTTTGATCTAAAGTCTGGTCGACTTAGAATCCGGACACTTTATTTATTCTACTGCAGCGCCTCTTATAGTTGGATTAGAAATGTTTTAACAGCGATTTGTTTTGAATGTACATGTGTTTCGTCTCGAATACTGCAGTATTAAAAAAATGCTCTAGATGGAAGACGAGAAAATAAAATTGATCTTGCACACCCATCTTGAAATACCGACGTGGTCAATTCGAAATATCGCAAAATTTGAAAATTGCCTGATCTCGGACGAAATTCAAGTTTGTTTTCGACTATAAATTCGCCCAGAAACTGGTGATCTGGCACAGAATTTGCAGCGATGGTCTCGAGGCTGTATCTTCAAAAAAGCCTGGAGGAATGTGTACTACCTTTCATTAGGGCTCACAAAGATCCAGTGAAGTTCTGGCCAGATTTGACAAGCTGCCACTACAGCCGGGAAATGGTACCGCAATAAGGTGGATTTCATCGACAAGGATATAAATCCACCCAAATGCCCGCATTTTCGCCCAATCGAAAAGTATTGGGCAATTATCAAGCAAAATTAAAAAAAAAATGGGAAAGATGACTCAGGACGCTGTACAGATGGTTCAATGTTGAAAACAAATTGCCGCTGAGGTTTACCAGTCCAGTGTGCGGATGATGATGGCGGAAATTCCAAAGAAAGTCTTTGAGTTCATCCGAACGCTGTCGGAGTAATTTTGCATTTTTTTTTTTATGAAACGTCATTTTGACTAAATTACATTTTTCGATCCCGAGATGCACCTGGTTCTATGTGTTTAGATTCTAAGTGGACCATACTTTATGAATGGAACAATAACATATATTTCTTGTGCAAGGTAGAGGGGCAACGAAGGAATTCCTGCCCCAAGTGGACGGTCAGTGGAAGCAGTCAGAAATGTAAAAACAAAAACAAGGCAAAGGGCATAGCGGGAGCAGGAAGTACGCTGGTGTGGCAGGAGGTGTAACAGAGGAAGATGTAGAGGTGCTTGATGAAGAAGTAGTAGAAATTGACGCGATGACCCGGAGGCCGAGGAAAACTGGTAAGAGAAAGTGACCCATGTAACAAATTTGGCATTATGAGGGTTTCTTAGACCATGATTTAGACTTGAAGAGTGCTTTAAAACTTTGATAAAACTAGCAATGTTACTTGGGAAGCGATGCTCAGAAACAGAAACCACAAACATCCGAATGATGCGAAGTCTGGATTCGTAGACTGGGCGGAAAAGTCGGAGAAAGAAATGGTACAACATGCAGACACAGGATTACCGTGTGCTTTCTCTACACTTTCGCCACTCAGTAAACATCAGAAGATCTCTTCAAGACCTCCATCCATCCGACACGAGTTCGGAATAGTGTTGCAATTAATTGTAAAAATGTTTCAAAGGTTTTCGTCTCCGTATTGTTTTTTTTTTAAACAATGAGCATTATAAAAAAAAATAATAAAATATTAACATTTTTTATATTCTTGCACAGAAATAGATTTTTAAGAAATCTGAATTTGCTTTCTGTGCAAAAGTAATAAAAACTATGTTAAAAAACCGTGTCTAAATTTATCTAAAAGTTCTTGTTTTTGTCGAATTTGATTTCTAGGAAATGCCAGAAGAACTAGCATTTTTATATTAAAATGGTTTACAAAATATTAGATGTGGTAACTTTTTGCTACTTATGCATGTTACTCCGATGGATCGGTTTCCCGTGAAGGGGTTGGCATCGGCATCACGGGCCCCCAGATGTCCGTACTTCATCGACTTACAGACCAGTACACTATATTCTCGGCAGAAGCGGTCTCTGCTTTTATTGCCACTCCCTCAAACAAGCCGATTGCCGTATTTACGGACTCCGCAAGTGTAGTTTTAGCCCTCAACTCGGACTCTATTAAGCACTCATGGATCCAAGCCATTCAGCGATATGTCCCAGAAACACTACATTTGTATGGATTCCGGGCCACTGCGGCATTCGTGGTAATACAGATGCGGATCATTTAGCGGCTTCTGGAAGCCCAACCTGAAAAAATGGGTTGCCAACAAAATCTGGGACTTATGGTCAAATACATGATCCCAATCAACTAGCATTTTCCTTAGAAAAGTGAAAGCTGACACACGAAGATGGCAAGACCCCCCTGACCACCGAACTCAGGTTGTCCTGGCAAGACTCAGAACAGGCCATACCAGAGTCTCGCTTAACTTTGCTGGGAGCAGCCCGTTCCGGAAATTTTGCGAGCTCTGCCGCACCAACTGTTCAGTGGAACACATAATCTGTCACTGTACTCAATACGAAGGCTCACGAGAGCTGTACGGAATACCGGGCAGCATTAAGGACGCACTGAGTAACGACCCGACTAGAATCACAGCATTAATGGGCTTCCTCCGCGAGGTCGGCCTCTTCGACCAAATATGAAACCTGCCAAAATCCCGACCACCGCAATACAAATGGACTTTCTTTTATCACCCAATATCTCAAACCAAAGCAAGATCGTCAGTAACTTAACAACCAAAACTCCGAAGAAAGGCAGCACATTGACAGCCTCAGTATTTAACCAGAGGAGTCCTCTTATAGACCTCCTAACATGATAAAAAAAACTTTGTAACTAGATGAGGTCCCTTCTGGACCCCACACTATCTTTTCAGGGACGAACCAGCCAACGGCTGAAAGTCTCTATAATAAAGAAATCAATATCACTTACTCATGTGTTTTTCGATATTTTCGTATATTGACAAACTTTGAGGCCGTGTATATTTTTTTTTCTGGAATGTTGCTCTTTTTTCCACATAGGATAAGTGAGCCAGTTATGGCAGAGTGCTCCTGTTTATGGCCCTAGTGTTAAACTCAAATTTGAAATAATGGCTTTAATCGCGTAGACATATGACAAAACCTATGTTCTAACCCTACATAAAATTAAATAAATAAATAAATAAAAAAAAATTGAAATAAGGGAAAAAAATTTGGTAACAAAAATGGCAATTATAAAAGGGTCAATTAAGGAACCGCATTGGGCAAAAACTGATTCGCATATCCTACTCATTTGCATTTGTAGTATTTATAAGCGACCCTATTGGGTTATGTATCACTAATAAACGAAGGGAAGATAACAAATTGAGACATACTTGTAGCGTTGCGGGGTTACACTTAGTCATAATCCAAAATCTTAAACTACACACTTAAAAAAATTCATGTAAATTGAGGTGTTTTGAGACTGACATATACGAGCGTCATTTTTGACATAAAATTGATTCGTAATAGACGCAAAACTCAGCTCAATCTAATTTACTTTTCGTCGAGTACCGAACTTTTCAATCTCGGAGCACTTAATTTTACATGACATGTTTGTTTACGTCTCATCCTTTATGTCAAAGATGGATTCCGTCACGTGTAAAATTAGGTATTTCTAAGTGTGTAACTTATACTATTGTACAGTTATAGCACCTTCGATCCCGCAATTGAATGTTATACTGGATATAGAAAATATCAGAGATCTTAGATGCGAAAAACTTTTCCAAAAACATCACAACTCTCATCCTTAAAGCAATCATCGCTGGACCCTGTACTATCTTAAATCCCATAACGGAGAAACTACGGAGTAAAAATTAACCGCGTATTAAAACCCACGTAGGAATTACGAATACTCACAGTAAAATTAAAAAAAAAAAACACAATCACACAGTTGAAAACATGGGGACGCATGGTGCAAACTATGCATCCTATCCTATCATGATTGATATGAACCAGTTCAAAAGGTTTAAGAAAATTGATTGTAAAAATATCAATACAAATCCATAAATCGAAAAAAAAAAGTATATTTCCGCAAATTGAAAGTCCCATCAATCAAAATTGAAAGCGCACATTGCTGCTGAACATTCACTTCAACTCAACAGCATTTCCTACGTCATCTTCAATCACCGT